TTTTCATGAGTCACTGTTGAGTTTTGTCAAATGCTTTTTCTGCATTATTGGTATGATCATGTAATTTTATCTTTAGCCTGTTAATATGATGACTTACATTAACTGATTTTTGAATGATGAGCCAGCCTTGCATATGTGTAATACTTGGTTATGGTATATAATTTTTTTTTGTATTGTTGGATTAGATTTGCTAATATTTTCGTGAGGATTTTGTATGTATTTTAATCAGTGATATTGATCTGTAGTTATCTTTTCTGGTAATGTCTTCATGTGGCTTTGGCAGTAGGGTAATATTGGGCTGGCAGAATAAGGTAGAATGTGTTCCCTGTGTCTACTTCTACTTTCTGGAAGAAATTGTAAAAAACTGGCATTCTTTATTCCTTAAATGTTTAGTAGGATTAACCTGTGAAACCATGTGAACCTGGTGCTTTCCTTTTTTGAACGTGATTTTCTTCTTCTTCTTCTTCTTTTTTTTTTTTGTTAGTTATTGACTCAATTTCTTTCTTTCTTTCTTTCTTTCTTTCTTTCTTTCTTTCTTTCTTTCTTTCTTTCTTTCTTTCTTTCTCTTTCTTTCTCTTTCTTTCCTTTCTTTCTTTCTTTCTTTCTTTCTTTCTTTCTTTCTTTCTTTCTTTCTTTCTTTCTTTCTTTCTTTCTTTCTTTCTTTCTTTTTCTTTCTTTTTTTCTTTCTCTTTCTCTCTCTCTCTTCCTTCCTTCCTTCTTTCCTTCCTTCCTTCCTTTACTTTCTTCCTTACTTTCTCCCCTCCCCTTCCCTCCCCCTCTTCCCTTTCTTCCTGCAACATCTCGCTCTGTTGTCCAGGCTGGAGTGCAGTGGTGCGATCATGGCTCACTGCAGCCTTGACCTCCTGGGCACTAGCGATACTCCCACCTTGGCCTCTGGAATAGCTGGGGCCACAGGCGTGCACCACCATGCCCTGCTAATTTAAGGCTTTTTTTTGTTTGTTTGTTTGTTTGTTTGTTTTTTTAAAGATATGGAGTCTTACATTGCCCAGACTGGTCTTGAACTCCTGGGCTCAAGCGATCCTCCCACCTTGGTCTCCCAAAGTGCTCATACAGGTATGAGCCACCATGCCTGGCCCGCTAAAGCACTTCTTTTTATGTTTCTCGCACAGCAGATCTGTTGGTGAAAGGTTTGTCTGAGAAAGTCTTTATTTATACTTCACCTTTGAAGGAAAATTGTTCTGAATATAAGATTCCATGTTGGTGTTTTCTCTTTTTAAAGTTTCAATGCTTTAAATATTTCACTTCACTCTCTTCTTGCTTGCATTGTTTCTGACAAGAAGTCCAGTGCTGTTCTTGTTCCTCTATATGTAAGGTGTGTTTTTTCTCCCTGTGACTTTTTTTCTCCTTCCTTCCTTCCTTCCTTCCTTCCTTCCTTCCTTCCTTCCTTCCTTCCTTCCTTCCTCCCTCCCTCCCTCCCTCCCTTCCTCCCTCCCTCTCTCCCTCCCTCCCTCCCTGCCTCTCTCCCTCCCTCCCTCCATTCCTTTCTCTCTCTCTCTCTCTCTCCTTTCTTTTCCCTTTTCTTTTCTTTTCTTTTCTTTTCTTTCGTCTTTCAAGATGGGGTCCCACTCTGTTTCCCAGGTTGGAGTGCAGTGGTGTGATCATGGCTCATTGCAGCCTTGACCTACTGGGCTCAAGCTCAAGTGATCCTCCCACCTCAGCCTCCCAAGTAGCTGGGGCCACACGTGGGTGCCACCAAGCATGGCTAATTTTTGTATTTTTTGTAGAGATGGCATTTCGCTGTGTTGCCCAGGCTGGCCTTGAACTCCTGAGCTCAAGTGATCCACCTGCCTTGGCCTCTGAAAGTGCTGGGATTATGGGAGTGAGCTGCCATGCTTGGCCATCTTTGTCTTTCTGAAGTTGAAATATGATATGGCTAGATGTGGATAGGCATATTTGGATATTTATCCTGCCTGGTATTCTCTAAGCTTCCTGGGTCTGTAGTTTGGTGTCTATCATTAATTTTGGAAAATTCTCAGCCATTATTTCTTCAAAGTATTTCTTCTGCTCCTTTCTCTTTTCTTCTTCTTGTATTCCCATTATATATCTGTTACACCTTTTGTAGTATCCCACAGTTCTTAGATATTTTGTTTTTTAAAAATTCTTTTTTCTCCTTGTATTTCAGTTTGGGAAGTTTCTTTTTTTTAAATTTTTGTTTGTGACAGGGTCTCACTCTGTCTCCCAGGCTGGAGTGCAGTGGCAGGATCTCAGCTCACTGCAACCTCTGCTTCCCAGGTTCAAGCGATTCTTGTGCCTCAGCCTCCTGAGTGGCTGGGACTACAAGCGTGCACAACCATGCCTGGCTAATTTTTGTTTTTTAAGTAGAGACGGGGTTTTGCCATGTTGGCCAGGGTGGTCGCCAACTGCTGACCTCAAGCAATCTGCCCACTTTGGCCTCCCAAAGTGCTGGGATTATAGGCGTGAGCCACCACACTGTTCTGAGTTTGGGAAGTTTCTATTAACATCTTCAAGCTCACTGATTCTTTCCTTGTCAGTTTCTTTCTTTCTTTTTTTTTGAGACGGAGTTTTGCTCTTGTTGCCCAGTCTGGAGTGCAGTGGTGCAATCTCGGCTCACTGCAACCTCCGCCTCCCAGTTTCAAGTGATTCTCCTGCCTCAGCCTCCCAAGTAGCTGGGATTACAGGCATGCGCCACCATGCCTGGCTAATTTTGTATTTTTATTAGAAATGGGGTTTCTCCATGTTGGTCAGGCTGGTCTCAAACTCCTGACCTCAGGTGATCCACCCATCTCAGCCTCCCAAAGTGCTGAGATTATAGGTGTGAGCCACTGTGCCCAGCCTCCTTGTCTGTTTCAAGTCTACTGATGAACCCACTCAAGGCATTCTTCATTTCTTTAATGATATTTTGAGTTCTAGCATTCACTTTTGGTTCTTTCTTAGCATCTCCATCACTCTGCTTATATTACCCATCTGTTTGTGCATGTTATCTGCTCTGTTAGTGCTGTTAACATTTTAATTATAGTTTTTTAAAAGTCCCTATATGATAATTCTAAAATCTGTGTCATACCTGAGTCTGGGTCTGATGTTTACTTGGTTTTTATGTACTTTTTAGCATGTCTTGTAATTTTTCAGTTGAAAGAGAGATATTATGTATCAGGCTTTTATTATGAAGCTTTATGTTAATTTGGCTAGGAGCTGGGTTGCGTTTAATGCTTATTATAGCTATAGGTGCCAGAGATTTCAGTTTCTCTAGTGCTTTTTTCTCTCCTTTCCTATTGTCTTTGAGTTTCCTTATGAACTCCTTAAATAGGGTCTGTGCCTTGTAGCTCTCTCACTTGTAATTTTCTGTTATTATACTGGATCCCTGTTGATGTGGTAGTAAAGTGTTGGAGGAGAATCTGTTTATACTTTTATAATTAATCTTATTCTTTTAGTGGCCTGAGCCCCTGGACTGTGACCTTCAGAAGTGTTTCTTAGCCTTTTTCTCTCTTCTTAAGTGATACAGAAAGGCTATAGACAGCTGGAGTTCCCTAATTTTCGTCTCCCAGGTCAGATAAGGCTCTGACATCTTCCCTTGAGATGGAGGGAATAATCTGGGTGTATTTTAAAATGATTACTTCTTTCCATCCCCCAGAAAGAAGAGGAGATTTTTCTTGACTCTTTACTGTGAGAATCTGTTGGGGTTCCTGGAAGTAAAACTCATGACAGTGTGGTAGCATCCCCAAGACTGGGTCCTGAGGATGAAAACCCATGAAAGTATGGTAGCATCCCTAAGACCAGAACCTGAGGAGGTTTTTATTCTCAAGCTAGTCCACACTCATCCTTTACTAGTTTGTCGGAGTTACTGCTTAAGTACTTCTACCAGTTTATGACTCCAGCAGCTTCTGCATGAGGCAATTTTGTCTTAGCTGTAATTTTCTTAATCTCCTTCTTTCTCCAGTTTTCTGAGTTGCAGTTTGCCCTGTCACTTCAATTCTCCAAAGAATCTAAGAAAAGTGGTTGATTTTCAATTTGTTCAGCTTTTGTTCTTATTATAGGATGGGAGTGATGACCTCTCATGTGAGAGGGAAAACTGGAAGTCAATAGTGGTTGTGGAAATGGCAGTTTATTTTTCTTTCAGAACTGATGTAGCCAGCCAAGGGCAGATATGGCAGATAGCTCTGTGATCATCTGGGACCCATGATCCTTTTATCTTGTCACTCTGCCATCTTCAGTATGTATCATCCACCTTGTGTTTGGAAATGGCCTATCCGTCTCCAGTCATCACATAGTATTCCAAACATCCTGCAGGAAATATGAAGGAGACAGACAGAGAGAAAGAGACAGTCTTTTAAGACATCCTTTTAATTTAAGGATACTTCCTAGAAGTTGCTTTTGCCACTTTTGCTTAATTCCAGACCTACCAGACCTTGAGTTTGCATGGCCAAACATACCTGCAGTGGAGGTTGGGTGATACAGCTTTAATCTGGATATGTCATGGCCAGCTAAAAGTGCATAGAATAGAAATTGAAGAGCAATTAGCAGTCTCTACCACAACAGTGTTCCAAGGCTTTCCTCAGATTATGAAAGGTGTCTGTGGCACAACATAGCTTAAGAAAACTCTGCTTTACAAAATTGCTGTGAGAGTTGGGGTCACAGCATGTCAACACCCGGTTGGCACTGGCACCGACATACCCAGAATATTTAGCCCAAGCTGACTTGCATTCAGTCACTCGCGTGTCCTGAAGGCTTGCCATGGGTCAGATGTCAGGCTGATAATAAGCTAATCCCTCCCTACCCTTAAGGAGTGCCCAGTCTGATATTGTAAATCTTCAGCTCATTGCTGGACATGGTTGCAGCATTATCTATGCCTCAGAGTCCCCATCTTTTAAAAAGAGTAGGCATCCTGTGTTTTTTGTCTTATCTGGCTACGGGAGCAGTGATGCACAGGTGTGAAGGTATGGTAGAAGCCAGTTAGCTTAAGGTGTGGCAGGGATAAAAGGCTGCTGGGCCCAACTCTGTATGACTTTTTTTTTCCCTGGCAGCTTCCCCAACCAGCAGATTGTTTCAGGATCAAGCGGTGGTGAAAGAGAATGAAGGCAAATATATGTGTGAGTCAAGTGGGTTCTATCCAAAGGATATTAATATAACATGGGAGAAGAGGACCCAGAAGTCTCCCCATCACGTAGTGATTTCTGAGAACATCATCACTGGTCCCACCATCAAGAATATGGATGGTACATTTAACATCACTAGCTGCTTGAAGCTGAACTCCTCTCAGGAAGACCCTGGGACTGTCTACCAATGTGTGATACGGCATGAGTCCTTGCATACTCCTGTGAGCATCGACTTTAACCTGACTGCTCCTCGGCAGAGTCTTTCTGGTAAGGGTCTTTCTGGACATTTCTTCTCTTCCCTGCCTTGAGGGACTGTAACATAAGACTTATTCCCACACAGCCCGGGGTCTTAGCTGGGGACTGAAGGGGAAGGAGAGAAAGCTTGGACTGGAAGGACCAAGCTGGGGTCTGGCCTAGCTCAGCCCCAGAGTCAGCAGTCCAGCTTAGGTCCCTACACCTGGGCAGAAGATGGTCTAGAGTGGTGACCATAGTCATCAGGTGGAGCAGGGCGACTTGTCAGCTCATGGCAGCTTCAGGGTTTTGGATGGTCCATATGGCTTGAAATAGGGAACCTGCCAGCTGCTAGGGGAATGGGGACAGTATCCTACCCATGTTCCCTGAGGATAAGGGGCTATCAGGGGCCAGGGACCAGTCCTGCTAGCAGCCCTTCTAGTCAGGCTCTAGGTTCACTGTAAACTGTTGGCTGGTGGGCTGGTAGAGGCTGAATCAGTAGTCTTGTCTTTTTTTTTTTTTTTTTTTGAGATGGAGTTTTGCTTTTGTTGCCCAGGCTGGAGTTCAATGGCATGATCTCAGCTCACCACAACCTCTGCCTCCCATGTTCAAGCGATTCTCCTGCCTCAGCCTCCTGAGTAGCTGGGTCTACAGGCATGCACCACCACGCACAGCTGATTTTGTATTTTTAGTAGAGACGGGGTTTCTCCATGTTGGTCAGGCTTGTCTCGAACTCCTGACCTCAGGTAATCCGCCTGCCTTGGCCTGCCAAAGTGCTGAGATTACAGGCATGAGCCACCGCGCCTGGCCAGTAGTCTTGTTTTATGGGCTGTGTCCCAAGATGGGGAGGCTACAGTAGAGTGGTTCTGCAAATGCTCAGTGCCTTCCCCAGGCACACTGGATCCTTAAAACACAGTTCACGGCAGACCCTCTCCTACTGGTGGGGTGGGGCTTTTTGAGCTCATATGCCCTGGTCATAGCTCTGGTCTTGGGTAGGGGTAGCTCTGCTGGTAAAATGCATCTCCCTGGGTCTGAGAGGAGTAAAGAAGGCAGGGAGTGACTGGGGGCACTGAGGAATGTGGTCAGGCTATGCCAGATGGGGCCCAGGATGGTCCTGGGGAGAGAGGAATTCTTCTTGGAAGTAAGGACTAGGAGTGTGTATGGGTGGTGTGTGCAGGGCTGCAGGGAGGGTATGTGTGTCCACTGGGAGTATGAAATGGAAATATACCTTGCATGTATGGTATGAGGTGTTGTCTGTGTGGTATGCACATAGGAGTAGAAGATGGTGTCCTATTACAGAAGGTTTGAAGATGAGGGTGGCACACTTCTGTGGTATGTGGTGTTCATCTTCCATATTTTTGGCAAGTGCTACATACACTGTTCCGTGTGTGGAGGTATATGTGATAGGAATGGAGACGCTGAGACATGTGGTAGAGGGCTGGTGGTTAAATCTCTGACAAGGAGGATGACACAACCACACAGATCCCAGCAGCAGTTGTGTGGTTTCTCTGGCCCTTGCCTGTAGGTTTCCTGTTAATGTTTTCCTTCTCTCTCTGCAGAACCTGAGAAGACAGATGTCTCTTCCACTAATAGGTGGCGTATTCCATTAATTGCTTTTGGATTGATTTTATTTTTATTAATTGTTTGGATTCTTTGGAAAAAGGTAAGGGGCTCCAAAGCAAAGTTCAGCCCTGTGTCTTGGGCTAGTAAAAAGCTTTTAGGGCGGCTGCTGCCAACCTTATGAGACTCAAGGGACAGGCCTGCTGGAGAGGACTTTGTCAGTCCCTCTTCACCATCAGGTGTTGGGAATGTTGGCTCTGTTCCAATCCAGTTTCCTTTCACAGAGGACCTAGCTGTCACATGCCATCTGACCTTTGTATGGTGGTTTGTGACTCTGGGGTGATGTGTTGTAAAGCCTCCCTCTGTTTCTCCAAGATACTAAGCAAGTGTTATATCTCTGTGAGTGAACCAGACTTGAGTGTTCAGACCAGGCCCTGAACTATGTGTGGGCTGCTTGTTTTTCTCACACATTTAGAAACTATGGCTCAGAGAGGGGAATTCCTCATACTTTATCTGATCAATAACTTACCATCAGATTTCGCTAGTTTGACTAAGAATTTCTAACCCTCACTAGGTATTTCTAAACTAAAACATGTTTCTAAACATTTTTATCCCTGACTATGGCCCAAATAGTAAATAAAACAGCTCAAGCTTTAGAGGCCCAAGAGACCTGTGAAAATGTGTTGGTTAAAATAGTTTTAGATAATAAAAGGGCCCTCAATTATTTATGGGCCTGTCAAGGCAAAATCTGCACAACAGCTAGTACATCTCATTATAAATACTTTAGGAGAAGTGGAATAATCAATTAAGAAAAATGGCTCTTTGTCTAAAGTTGGCCATTTAGATTCACAGGACTTATTCCTGTTGGATCTAAGACAATGAGAAAACTGGATAAAAAGTGGTTTTCAAATGTTTCTTATGATATTTGTGACTGTTGTCATATTTCTTGCCTTTCTCTGACTCTGATATTCAGGTGCCATTGAGAGAGGAGGAAGGAAGAAACTAGTTAGGCAGGCAGTTAGGGTGGGCCCTCAGTAAAATTCCTTCAGACAAAAGAACAGCCTGAAAAATCAAACTGCAGATAAGGGAACTTGTACAGGGTGGCTTGCCTAAAACATGCCCAAAGCCACATAGATTTAAAAAAGGCTACACAGGAGACTTGCCAAGACATGCCCACAATCGAAAATTCCATACCCTGACACATGCACAGTAAGGGGAACAAAGCCACATGGAGTAACTTGAGCTAAGGGCTTGCATGCACACTATGAGGATGGGGTGGAGCTACCAGAAATGTGTGCCTTATGCCTTTGTATTCAGCTGTGAAATGGCAACCCTCTTTTGGGCTCCCTCTCTGCAGTGGAGAGCTTTCTTCTTTTGCTTATTAAACTTTCACTTCAACTTCATCCTTGGGGTCCGCGCTCCTTAATTTTCTTGGTCATGAGACAAAGAACTTCAGGTGATGCCTTAGGCAACAAGAGACTGCTACATGGTGGTGCATTGACGAGACTAACATTTTGGTGCATTGGCTGGGAAACATTGGAAGGGTGAGTAGGAGCGGACCTCCAAGCTCTTTACTTTCATTTCAGAGGCTGCTTGTCCTCAGATTTTTTCCTGAAGACTGAACAAAACACTGGGCCAGTTAAAAGCTTTTCGAGTGGCTGCCAACCTTATGAGACTCAAGGGACAGGTTTGCTGGAGAGGACTTTGTCAGTCCCCCTTCACCCTCAGGTGTTGGGAATGTTGGCTCTGTTCCAATCCAGTTTCCTTTCACGGAGGACCTAGCTGTCACATGGGCTAGAAGGAGGCCCTGGGGCAACCGAAGATTTCTGTTTGAGGCAACTCGTCAGTGTTACCTGAAGGCCCCTGGACTAACTCCAGGCCCCAACAGCCCATCAGGGTGTTGTCACCAGGACTTCCAGACTTTCCTACTGCATTTTCTTCCTTGCTTTTCACAGCTACTATGTCTCCTATTCCTTATTTGTATGCAATGTTGTGGGTGTTTTTATAGCCTGGGGAGATAATACTGTTAAGCAAAGTCAGCAAATGCCTTAGTAACCAGGAATGTAACTCAAATAATTATTGTTTTTGTGATTTCCTTGAGACAGGGGGACTTCAAGATTTCAGCCTAAACCTTTACTTAGGCCCTTTTTCCCCCAATGATAGACATTCATGGCACTGTATAGGGGGATGTTTCACCCCGAGTGAATATCCTTTTCTCCTTTGGGTTGTTTTTCCTCCATGTAAGAGCTCAGCATTGCCCAGTGAATTTAAGCGTTCCCTCTATGAGACAAACTAGTTTTTTTCTACTGGACAGCATATTATGGGGACAGCCTATTAAGCCCCAAGCCTCTCTTTCTGACCGCTGCTTGGAAAGAATTTGTAGTCAGTTTTTTCCTAACATTTCAAACCCTACAGTGCCACCTAGTGGGATGGGATTTTTCTCTTGAGAAGCCTTGTCAGCCCTTTGCCCAAAACCTCTAGTTCCCCGATTCCTTTGCCTCTTATGTCCCTCATTCAGTGATCAGGCCCCATGCCCTATTTGTAAGCAGAAAAACTCCCCTTTCAACAGCCAGGAGGAAGCCACCCTGGCAAGACAGATTTTAGCCTCAGTGTTATCCCCATTGGAGGGAGAACAGCCGTTCAATTTTTACATTATTTTGAGGCATCTGTTCTGCACACAGCTACATTGGCATCTAAGTGAGAAAGGGATCTTATGTTTAGAAATCAATTGGTCTTATTCTCTAGAAATTCGTAACTTTGCCCAGGTGGTAGTAAGAGGATGTAAGGATAGAGTTAAGATGTTCCCTTCCTTAAAGGGTCTTGCCCAAATTCAACTACTGCACAGTCTCTCCCAGGGTTCTAGGGAATCTCAGGAGCCTTATGGGCCAAGGAGGTCTAGGAAACCGGCAGGGCAGAGAGCTAGAGCCTTGTGCAGGTGACCACAAGCTAGCTCCTCCGGATTCATGGGTGAAGGTCATACTTGGATCCATGGGCGGCACCTATAATGGTCACCAGGAATCTGAGGAAACAGGAGGAAAGAGGAGAAGGGGGACACCCCTTCTATTTTTCTCTCTGCCCTCAGTCACTTCAGAAGGACAAAGGAGACTAAGGGATGCCTTTTTTCTCCTCTTTTTCTAGATATGTAACAAATCATCTTCAGCCTATACTCCTCTCAAGTGCATTCTGAAACACTGGAGCTCCTTTGACACTCAGACTCTGAAGAAAGAGCGCCTCGTATTCTTTTGCACTCAGGCATGGCCATCTTACCAGCTGCAGGATGGGGAGGCCTGGCCTCCTGAGGGAAGTGTTAATATTAATACCATTCAACAACTAGATATTTTCTGCAGACAGGAGGGCAAATGGTCCGAGGTTCCTTATGTGCAAGCCTTCTTTGCCTTGCGAGACAACCCAGATCTTTGTGAGTGTTGTGGAATTTACCCTGTTCTCCTAACAGATACATCAGGCAAGTCCACAGATGATAATTCCCCAAAGTCTGAGAAACAAACCCCTAGGGAATACTCGGATGCAGTTCCTGGATGCCCCAGTCCTTCCTCTCCCCACTCTCTGGGACCTCCTTCAGCCACATCATCAACAACTCCAGTTCTACCTTCCCAACCCCCAACTTTACTGTTACCCCTACAGTAAATGCCTGATGGATGTGGTGCCACTAGGGTCCAAGTTCCCTTTTCATTACAGGACCTTGTGCAAATAGAGGGGGACCTGGGCAAGTTCTCTGGTGACCCTGATAGATATATAGAGGCTTTCCAAAACCTAACTCAGGTGTTTGACCTTACTTGGAGTGATGTTATGTTGCTCTTAAACTCTAACTACTGCAGAGAAACAGGTAGCCCTGCAGGCAGCAGAAAAATTCAGAGATGAACAACATGTCTTCTATAGTTGCTCAATAAGGAAAGAAGGTGAGAAAGAACCAGCATTCACATACCCAATAGGAAGGGAGACAGTGCCCCTTGAACAACATAATTGGGATCCCAGTGGTACCTTAGATGAGTGGCAAATAAAACATTTTCAAATGTGCTTATTAGAGGGCTTACAGAGGACCAGAGCCAAGCCTCTTAATTACCCCAAACTTTCCATGATAGATTAAAAACTAGATGAAATTCCCTCAGCCTTTTTGGAAAGGCTGAGAGAGGCTGTAGTGAAGCATATGTTCCTGTCTCCTGTGAGGGATGTTTATACCTCACATAAATAATTTAATTGAGGGACAGCTAATTTTGAAAGACAAGTTTATTACTCAAGACAGCCCCTGATATCAGAAGGAAACTAGAGAAACAGGCCATGGGACCAGATAGCACCTTAGAAAACCTCCTGAAGGTAATCACCTTGGTCTTTTATAATAGAGACCAGGAGAAGGCCCAGGAGAAGGAGAGGAAAAAGGCAGAGACTCTTGTGGGCACTTTGTATAAAATCCAGTATCCCCAAGGTGCACCTGCTAGTTGCTACCAATGTGGCAAACCCGGGTACTTCAAAAGGGACCGCCCATGCAGCAAGAAGAAGCCACCTCAACCCTGTCCAGTATACAGTGGGGACCACTGGAAGGCAGACTGTCACAGGAGACATAGGTCACTGAGTCCAGAGCCAGTCTCACAAATGGTCCAGCAGGACTGATGGGTCCTGGGGCTTAACTCCCTGGCTCCAGCGGCTCAGACTGTGTTACTAGCCAGGAGCCCCAGGTGATTCTGGAGTTTGAAGGGAGGAAGATAGACTTCTTTCTGGACACTGGAGCCAGTCTCTGTGTTTTCCTCTCCAGTTCAGGCCTTCGTTCCTCCCATAGCACAACCATGATGGGCATCTCAGGGAAGACTTTAACCTGATATTTTTCTCAACCTATTAGCTGCAGTTGGGGAGACCTGCTGTTTACACAGGCCTTTTTAATCATGCCTGAAAGTCCCACTCCTTTATTAGGTAGAGATATTCCAGCATGTATGGGGGCCACCATCCTTATGGCTCCAGGACAAACTCTGCCTCCCCTTAGTGGAAAACAGTATTAACCCAGAGGTTTGGGCAACTCAGGGTAGAAGTGGCTGGGCTATAACAAGTATACCAGTCTGGATCCACCTCAAGGATCCCACTTTTTTTTCCTAACCAGAGACAATATCCCCTGAAGCCAGAAAGTAGAAAAGGGCTAGAAGCCAGCATTGATAATGTAAAGGCACAAGGCCTCCTTAGGCCTTGCCGTAGCCCTTGAAACACCCCAATATTAGGGGTGCAAAAATCCAATGGGGAATGGAGACTAGTTCAGGAGCTCTGCCTTATTAATGAGGCTATGGTTCCGATTCATCTAGTAGATCCCTATCCCTATACTTTGCTAACTCAAATATCCAAGGGAACTAAATGGTTCCCAGTTCTGGACCTAAAGGATGCCTTTTTCTGTATACCTTTACACCCTGACTCCCAGTACTTGTTTGCCTTTGAGGACTCCTCCCATCAAACAACCCAGTTAACCTGGACAGTACTGCCTCAGATTTAGAGATAGTCCCCACCTATTTGGGCAAGTATTGTCAAGACATCACTTTGAATTCTCCCATCCTCAGGTTAAAGTTTTACAATATGTAGATGACATTCTTCTCTGTGCCCCGACTGAGGAAGTTTCTTGAGAGGGCACTGAGGCTCTCCTTAATTTTCTAGCTGGAAAGGGATATAAGGCTTCAAAAATCTAAGACTCAGCCCTGTCAGACTTCAGTAAAGTACCTAGGTCTGGTCTTGTCAGAAGGGAACAAGAGCACTAGGCGAGGAGAGGATTAAGCCCATTTCTTCCCTTCCTCTCCCCAGAATCCTCAAACAGCTGAGGGATGCTTAGGCATTACGGGTTTTTGTAGGTTATGGATACCCAGCTATGATGAAATAGGTTGCCCTTTATATCACCTTATAAAATAAATTCAAGCGGCTAAAACTCACTTCCTGACCTGGGAACCTGAAGGTCAAAAGGCCTTTAATCAGTTAAAATAAGCCTTGCTTAAAGCACCAACCCCGAGTCTTTCCGTAGGGAAGGTCTTTAATCTTTATGTATCATAAAGGAAAGGAATGGCCCTGGGAGTTTTAATTCAAGTTCAAGGCCCAGCTCAACAGCCAGTAGGTTACTTAAGTAGAGAGTTTGACTTGGAGGCTAAAGGATAGCCAGCTTGCCTCTGAGCAGTTACAGTGGCGGCCCTGCTAGTCCCAAAGGCCACCAAGTTAATTCTGGGGAATAACCTGTTTGTACCTCACATAAATAATGTGGCAGGCTTGCTGTCTTCTAAAGCGAGTCTCTGGCTAACAGACAGCTGCCTCCTCAAGTATCAGGCTTTGCTGCTAGAGGGATCTGCAGTCCAGTTAAAAATCTGTCCTTGCCTGATCCCAGCCACTTTCCTTCCAGAGGAAACTGGAGAAACTGAACATAATTGTGAACAGATTGTAGTACAACCGATGCCGCTAGGGAGAATCTCAAAGAAATTCCCCTAAAAAATCCAGACTGGACCCACTTTATAGATGGGAGCTCTTTTGTAGGACAGGGAGTCTGTAAAGCGGGATATGCAGTAGTCACTCTAAATAACATTATTGAAAATGTGCCTCTCTTACCAGGCACAAGCGCTCAATCAGCTGAGCTGATCCCTCTCACAAAAGCACTTGAACTAAGCAAAGGAGAGACAGCTAACATTTATACTGACTCCAAGTGTACCTTTCTAGTTCTCCTTGCCCATGCTGCCATCTGGAAGGAAAGGCACTTCCTCACCGCTAATGGGTCTTCCATTAAATACCGTCAAGACATCAACAGGCTATTATCCTCAGTGTTCCTCCCATGAGAATTAGGAGTAAGACATTGCAGAGGGCATCAGAAGGGGGTAGATGAAATAGCCAAAGGAAACAGGTTATCATACCAAAGAGCAAAGTCAGCAGTAAGAAGGCCCCAAGGTCCCAATACACCTGAGATGTCTCTGATTTTCCTACATAAGGGAAATAAAGCCTCAGTATTCCCCTACAGAGATAGAATGGGCCACCTCTCCAGGGTATACTTTTCAACCCTCAGGATGGTTACAATCAGAAGATGGCAAAGTACGCTTGCCAGCCTCCAGCCAATGGAAGATTCTTAAAATCCTCCACTGAGCCTTTCACTTAGGAAAGCATAAGACATCAATGTGTCCAGAGATTGTTCTCAGGAGAAAATCTACTAAAAATGGTCAAATAGGTTGTTAATGCCTGTGAAACCCTCTTAAAAACAATCGCTTTAATAGATGGCTTCTTCCCCACCACACTCAGAGGATGGAAAGTTACTCAGGGGAGGACTGGCAGATAGACTTCACCCATATGCCCAAAATAAATGGCATTCAATATCTTTTGGTGTGGGTGGATACCTTCATTAACTGGGTAGAGGCCTTCCCATGCCGAACAGAAAAGGCCTCTGAGGTGGTGAGAATACTAATTAGTTAAATAATTCCTTGCTTTGGGCTCCCTAAGTACTTCCAAAGCAATGATGTCCCCTCATTTAAAGCAGCTGCTACCCAGTGGGGCCGAGTCTGCTAGGACTTTTGACTGGGTTTGGTAATACGTCACACCCTTTAGCCTCTGCGTGTGTCAGTCATGGCCCATTTATACAAGACTAATTGCTGGGTCTGTCCTGAGCGGTTTGCTCAGTTCAGTAACACTAAGGAACCTCTTGATGACCTGGTATTTACTGTCTTAGGATTCCCTTTGTTAGCTTTACCTTTAGCCATTAAAGACTTGTCAGGCATAAATGGAACATGGTATGGGAACACTTTCAACTGAGTAACTAACTCCTCCCAGGAAAGCATTTCCTCCCTGGTACCAGAAAACACTTTCGGCAAAGATAAGCTTCACACCCTCAGGCTAGGAAAAGTTGGCCGGGTAATAGCAAATGCCTCCTCCTGTTTTAAAAGCAGAAGAAAAGGACCATACCTGGGAGATCTCAAATATTATAACACCATACTCGTAATTGCTGAAAGCTCGGAGGTTTGGAGAAAAAGACATAATAAGGATGATCTAAGAAAATTGGAAGCCATATGCGGGGAAGCTTTCAGAATTCAGCCTCTCCTCCTGGTTGGAAGTCCTGCTGGGAATGGCAGGCTCTGGGCCTTCCCAGACATGCACCCTCATGGAATTCCAGACCCCCTGTATGATGCTTAGTAGTAGTGGCCTACAAATCTGTAGGTAAACAGAACAGGAGACTTCTGGACTGACAGCCCCTGCCACAAGGATTATCTGAGATATTGGCCAGGACATATTGTGTCCCTGGTATTGTGTCCCTGGTCTTTTGAAACTCCATTTGTCGGCCAGCTGTGGTGGCTTGCGCCTGTAATCCCAGCACTTTGGGAGGCCGAGGCGGGTAAATGACGAGGTCAGGAGTCCAAGACCAGCCTGGACAATATGGTGAAACTCCATCTGTACTAATAATACAAAAAAAAAAAAAAAAAAAAAGCCAGGCGTGGTGGTGCACTCCTGTAGTCCCAGCTACTCGGGAGGCTGAGGCAGGAGAATTGCTTGAACCCAGGAGGCAGAGGGTGCAGTGAGCCGAGATTGTGCCACTGCACTCCAGCCTGGGTGACAGAGTAAGACTCTGTCTCAAACAAAACAAAACAAAACAAAACAAAAAACTCAGTTTATCAGGTGGACTCTTCTCATTTAGCATGTAAAATTCCAAATGGCATCGTGAGTGACTATCCTGAGTATGGATATCCCCATCCCAAAGATGCTCCTATTATATGCAAGAGAGGGAAGCTTCTAAGATATAAGAAAGATCTGCCTGTGTCTCTCACAAGCTACAACTTAGCACTGGCCCTTCAGGGGACAGGGCTTTATTTCTTTTGTGGCTCCTGGCTACACTTAATCCTCCCTAGGCACTGGAAGGGAACCTGCACTATCATGGCAGTGGTTCCTGACCTATTATGTTTAAATTCCACTGATATGGCAGCATCATCTGGGGACATCCCTAACCTACCCTCTTTTCTAGCGAGTGTGCTATCTCAGATGAGCTGAACAAAGAGGTCTATCATTTCCATGCCCTCGTATGGAGACTTAACTGAAAGAGAAGATTGGGTAGGACCTGCACATGACAATCTTATCTTAGAAAAACCAGGGATAGGGGATTCTATAGCTAGAGGCCTCTTCTGGTTTGCTGGTATTCCTGTCCTTGAAAGATCAGTACTTAATATTTCTGTTATGATGCAACGAGGGCAGAAGCCAACAGTAGAAGCCATAGAAGCACAACAACAATCCATAAACTCTTTAGCCTCAGTAGTTATGCAAAATAGACAGGCCCTAGATATCCTTATGGCCAAAGTAGGGGGTACCTGTGCACTTTTAGAAGTGTGCCACTTCTAGATCAACACCTCTAGTCAAGTGGAAGAGAATGTACGGGTGCTTAAAGATCAAATTAGAACGTTGACAGATTAAGAGAAAGTGCGGGCTTTAGTCCTAGTTGGCTACAATCCCTGCTGAATGGATTCCAATCTTCTTTGTGGAACTGGTTAGCTCCTTTATTAGGCCCCGTTTTGCTCGTGTGTTTTGCACTAATGTTTGGACTTTGTATATTCAATACTGTAACTCAAATTGTTTCCACTCACTTAGAGACTGTTAAACTCCAAATGGTGCTGCAGATGGAACCATGCATAGACACGCCATTTTTCTGGGGACCCTTAGACCAATCTCAGGAGGAGCCCTAACTGCTGTAACCCCAACGACGCCCCCTTCCAGCAGGAAGCAGCCAGGAGTGGTCATCGTCCACTTTCCCCAACAGCAGTTGGGGTCTCCACTCCTGAATCAGGAATGAGAGAGGAGGAAGGAAGAAACCAGTCAGGCAGGCAGTTAGGGTGGGTCCTTGGTAAAATTCTTCCAAACAAAAGAACAGCTTGAAAAATCAAACTGCAGGCACAGATAAGAGAATTTGTACAGGGAGGCTTGTCTTAGACATGTCCACAGCTGCCTAGGTAAGAAAGATTACACAGGAGACTTGCCCAGAGATGACCACAATGGAAAATTCCTTCCCCTGAGACATGCGCAGTAAGGGGAACAAAGCCACATGGAGTAACTCAAGCTAAGGGCCTGCATGCACACTGGGAGGAGAACTACCATAAATTTGTGCTTTATGCAAATGAGATGCCCAGCACTCATCAATTTCTTACAAAAGCCTCTGCATTCAAATGTGAAATGGCAACACTCTTTTGGGCCCCCTCTTGGCAGTGGGGAGCTTTCTTTTTTCACTTTTTAAACTTTTGCTCCAACCTCACCTTTGGGCTCCATGCTCCTTAATTTTCTTGGTTGTGAGACAAAAGAACTTCAGGTGATACCTTGGGCAATGAGGGACTGCTACATTGTGGTGCACTGGTGAGACTGTAAAACTATCAGTTTATTGCTGATAACCCCAACATCAGCAATGATGCTTATGGAAAAAGAAAACAAATCCTTTATGATCAGCTGGATTCTGTAGTTGTTTGAAAAGATGACTCCAATCCTTCACCCTTCCCTGCATTCATGTCCATTGCTGTGTAACTTTGCAGTGTCTCCAACCATGTGACGTCTTTCAGCCAACATAAGGAGACAGCAGTGAAGGTGTGCCAGTTCCCAGTGTAAGCCCCAAGAGGCCTTGTGTGTCTTCATTTGCTTCCTTGTGTGCTTCTAATGGTGCTGAGAGAAGGACAGGTCCAGACTAGCCTGCTAGAGGATGAGAGATGCTGGCTCCCACATCCTTGTTGCTCCAGTGGAGGCCAGGCTAGATTAGATGACAGCCACCTGACTCCATGTGAGCAAATCTGAGATCAGCAGAGCTGGCAGAGCCAACTCTCAAATACTTGGAAAATACTTTTAATATTTAAAATGTTTTTTAAAGCCACTGTTTTATACTGGCTTTGTTAACACAGCATAAGCTAAGTGCTACAACTCCTCAGGAACCTGAGCTTTGACCAAAAGGAGTGTGGTAGCCACAGAGATGTGCCTCTGAGGCCCCCTTCGAGAGAGAGCCTGTGTGAGGAGTGCAGTCAGCTGACAGGCTCCAGCTGCAGATCTCAGGGATCTGCTTCAGTATTCCAGCTGGTGCCCTGCTCTCCCCGCACTGCTCCTGCCATTGACCGAGCAAGGCAGGAGCTCCGTGTTGGGAGCTGATGCTGGAATACTGAACTACATCCCGAGATCTCCAGCTGCTGATCTCGGGGATCTGAGGTGGCCACGACTTCCTCAGAGTTGTGTATTAGGTGCTAGAATAACATCATTTTGTTTGATGTCATTTTGTTATCACATTGATGAAAAAAAAATCAATTCCCAACCTGAGCCACTGGCTCTGTGGAGTTTGCATGTTCTGCATGGGTTTTCATCAGGTACTCTGGTTTCCTCTCAGATCCCAGAGATGAGCACTTTCAGTAAATTGGGGTGTCTAAATGGTGCCAGTCTGAGTGAGGGTGTGGGTGTGAGCATGCCTTACAGCCGGATGCCATCCTCTCCAGGGTTGATGCCCACTTAGTGCTCTGAGCCACTGGGATAGGCTTTGGCCACCCACAACTCTGAACTGGAATCATTGGGTGAATAATTATTTGTTTTTAGTAATTTTTTTTTTTTTCAAGACGAAGTCTCACACTCTGTCACCCAGGCCAGAGTGCAGTGGCACAATCTTGGCCTATTGCAACCTCCACCTCCTGGGCTCAAGCAGTACTCCCACCTCAGTTTCCTGAGTAGGTGGGACTACAGGCGTAGGTCACCATGCCTGGCTAATTTTTTTGGTGTTTTTGTAGAGATAAGGTCTTGCCATGTTGTCTAGGCTGATCTCGAACTCCTGAGCTCAAGCTATCCTCCTGTCTTGGGCTCCCAAAGTGTGAGGATTACAGGCATGAGCCACCGTGCCTGGCCTAGTAATCATTCTTAAATGTATATGTAAACATTTATTTCAGTGTTAAATATTGAAGTGTTTGGTCTTTATTTAGAATGTTGATGTATTTTATGACCAGAAATAAATTCTTTCTTATAGCTTACGGGAAAATTGGTTTTGTTCTACATTATTTTATTTAAAGTCATAGTTTCCTAGATCCTATCAACTCCATTAAATGAGGACTTACTGTACTGAAGCCTGAGGCTCATCTTAGTCCTCCCTCATTCCCCCTGCCTCTCCCTTCACAGTCAGCCTGCACTGTGATCTGAGGCTTTCCCCGCTACAGTCTCTCTCCTTTATCTTTCATGGAACCACCCCTAATTACTCACTTGTACTTCTGACTCCATCTTGAAAGCTGCTTCCTGGAAGATCCAAACTGACACAAGGAGGGACTGAAGGATTCGAATGAGGGAAGTAACCCATTCACCGCTTATTTGAGATGGGGAACTGAAGGACTTTGGCAGTTCCTACACAGAGACAGATGGCAGAGATGACAAGGTTTCTCAGAGAACGCGTGAGTAACTGGAGTGACTTTTCCTGAGGACCCAGACAGCCTGCTCAAGAGCACACTGTTGGAGCCGCCCTCCTTGGATGGAACTATGGAATGATTTTTGTTCTTCTACTTCCCAGGTGAATGGGAAACCAAGGAGACAGTCGGCATTTAACAAAAAGGAATCTACATCGCAGTCAGAACTGTGTTGCATTTGCTTCTCTCTGGATTACCTGGAAGTTACTCCCCTTCCCGCAATAATAATGGCATTATGAAAAAAAACTGGAATTGATCAAATGAAGTCAAGAGTAAACAGAGGAAAGACTACCCAAAGTCTGGTTTGCTTCAGTTGAGGGCTGATGATCTGGGGAGGAGGAGGTTGGGACATATTTGTGCTACAGGGAACAGTATTTCATGAAGGGGAGGTGTGTGACTAACAAAAGGGTTAACTGGATCCTATAAGCTATAGACAGCTTCTAGGTAGTGCCAACCTGTGCTGCATACCCGAACATTGTTGCTTCCCCCACTGAAGGTAATAAGCTGTGGAGTTGCACAGGCGCTTTGTATTACTCGTTCCACTCATTGGCCTTGGTGCCTGCCAGGAACTGAGGTCAAGGGAAAGGGAGAAGTTCA